TGCTGCCAAAAGGGATCGAGGAACGCCCAACCACGGTCAGCGCCGCCGGCCACACGTACAAGCAGACAGATCGGTTCGTGTACATCGGACGTACCATCTCCGCGGACGGGACACGAGCCGCAGCTGCCGAGCGCCGGAACAGTGCTTCGATGTACGACAGGCGACGAGCCAATCGCCAGCTCAAGATCCGGCTACTCCAGGCTGAAGTGGTGAAGACTCTCCTGTATGGGTGCACCTCGTGGAGCCTAACAGCGGAGCACTACACGAAGCTCAATGGAACCCACCGCCAGTTCCTTACACGGTGCATCGGCTGGAGCAAGCGGAATCGCTCAGACCGCCCCCTGTCCTATGCCCAGGCCCCAATCCAGGCAGGCTGCGAGGAAATCATCGAGGCCATTGTGCGCAAACGGAGACTGTGTTTCGCGGGCTTTGTTGTGCGCATGGAGTACAACCGCCTCCCCAAGCGCATGCTATTGGGAGCGATGGCGGGGGGCGTGGGATACCGGGGCGGGCAGGAGAGCGACTGGGTGTCTCGCCTAGGAGAGGACCTCGTGGCCTTCAACATGGGAGACGAAAAGGAAGGGGGGAAATGGAAAGAGAGCGCCAAGGACCCGGAGGTGTGGTACAACAAGGTCGAGGACGGGGCGGCATGGCTCATGAGGAAATGGCACAGGCAGGAGGCGGAAGCGTCCGCGAAGCGCCAGCGCGCGAGGGAAGCAGAAGCAGAGAGTACGGCCATCTCAGGACCGAAGAGAAAGAGAGTCGGGGATGCGGCGATGGGGGGGAAGAAAAGGCGACCGGGCACTGCTGTAGAAGCGAGTAGGGCGGCCGAGGCAGCACTTGTGGCCAACTATGTACCCGGCTGATGCTGTTGCGCCCTGTTTCCCTCCCTGCTGCATGCCAAGACTACTCCTGTATGTATCTCCTTTGACGGGGGCGCTGATGAAGAAAGCATACATAATATTTGTGTATTGCCTTCGGCCTCTGTGCTGTGCTTCTTTTTTCATGACCTCCCTGCCTACTGTGCTGTGTTGGGTACCTTGATCTCGCTTTTGCTGTTGCTTGTGTTTTTGTACTTCTGGCTGTCTGCCCATCTGCCGCCTCTTTGTCCTGTTTGCTCCGTTGCTCCCATGCCCTGGAGCGTAGTGCCTGGTGCTGGTACGTTACCCTTTGATTTTTTCTTCAGGAGGGTGTGGGAAGCGTCCTCCTCTAGTTTTGTTTTTGTTTTATTTTGATCGGTTTCCGAGGGCTCTTTTCTCGNTGCTGTTGCTTGTGTTTTTGTACTTCTGGCTGTCTGCCCATCTGCCGCCTCTTTGTCCTGTTTGCTCCGTTACTCCTATGCCCTGGTGCGTAGTGCCTGGTGCTGGTACGTTACCCTTTGATTTTTTCTTCAGGAGGGTGTGGGAAGCGTCCTCCTCTAGTTTTGTTTTTGTTTTATTTTGATCGGTTTCCGAGGGCTCTTTTCTCGAACGGTCGGTGCGGTACCTGTTCTTTTCTTGCCATCATTTTGTTTCGTTTTCCGATTGGTTTGTACCCTATTTTTGTTTTGTTTCCCCGCGCCGTCGTTTGTGCCGGGTCTTGAGACCACGGGCTCCCCATTTTTTGTGGACTAATATCTAGATAGTCTAGAGCTAATGTGAGAAACAACAACAAGCTTGTACCTCGTGCGATCGTCGACTCTCCCTGACTGTCTTCCGGTTGGCCCGAGAGGAAGTAAGTGGATGATTCTCTGTGCCACAGTTTCAGCCGACCGCTAGACGCCACTCCTTGTCGGCGGGTGTGTAGAATACCTAACGTAGAGCTGGTGTTATCACGGCGCCTATTAGAGTAATCTACACAGCACATGCATTTACAGTATGCGCGTACGACAGGGGTTCATCTTCGTACAAAGTTTTTATCGTAGTACTTGCGAGCGGTGAGTGTCGCTGTAAAAAAAAGACAGCGTGCAGACACAGCAGTCTATCGACTGCTGTAGGTAGCTACTCGTAGGACGCATTTTTGGCGGACAGTCTATGAAGTCTACATTCGTTGAACGAGGATAGTCTACAAAGATGCTATGCATTCCACAGCGTATGCAACAGCAGTACGAACTGCTGTTCAGAAGAATACATCAAGCATCGCCAAGCACCAATAAAGCTACCCGTTTGAGCAACTTGGTTGGAGGGACCTTCTCATGACTCTCTCTACGTAGTCGAAGTGCATATGTAACTCCGTTGGTGCGGCATGCCCCTCTCTCTCACAGTCCGCGTGTTGTGGGTGTTGCCGCAGTGAGTGCTTCTCTTGTTGTGCTCTTATACTATGTGCACTGCATGCACTGGATTCATGCAGTGCCTTCTTATGTGGATAACATCAGGACGACCATCAGCTGCAAGGAAAGTGAACCTGGCTGGCCACTGCGTCCAAGAGGCACATGCCAAAATGTCCGCTTGAAACCCATCCCGGAGCAAGTCATTTTTTTACCATCACCTCTGCCGTTACCCTCGAACGAGCGACGCAAGAATAAAGAACCATTATTAATGTTTTCGGCTTGGCGCACTACAACATGTTTGAGCCAGCTTCATCTATCTGCTGCTTGCTAATACATGATCACAGCACATATAAAGTAGCATTGATGAGGATACACACCTACAGATCATCATAATTCTGCTGGCGAGGATCTACTTGTAGAAGTGCTTGTTGGATGAGCAGCCGAATGACATGTCTCGGTCAGACAGCTTCTTCGTAACGCGACCGCAGCAAGCAATCGTGTGGTACATTGGTAGGCAAATGCGTGCCCAACTGTTCTGTGCCACACGGCTGTGCCGCCATGTGTGTAGCTTCCCACTTTCCCACCGGCCAGGTGCCAGCTTTCTTGATTGCTTGCCCTGTGCCGGTGCTGTGTGTGAGTTGCTATGGGTGTGACTAGGATACCCAGGTAAAATGCACACTTTTTATGCACACATGTATATACCGGTCCTGCCTGGGTCAACCAGTTGCACCAGGGGGCACCGCAAAATCTGACGACGAGTCCCCCACACGACATCCCGAACCTGGAGACCATGAATCCATTACCCAGGGGCGGGAATAAACGATTTTCAACAACACCTCGGGGAACATACCTGCTGGCTGGCACACACACACCGCAGTTTGTTTGTGGGGCTCATCAACCCACCTCCTTTTGCTCAAGGGGCGCAGGACCTCTGCTGTTTGGTCGGAGAAATCTGCCGCTCTTGCTGTGTTGCTGCGGCGGGTCACGCATATCAGGAGGCGCCGGGGGCACCGAGAGCGGGCAGTTGCCAGAGCGGCGTCATTCGCAGATCACAACGTACGCATTTTGTGAGCGAAGAAGGAAGAAATCAGCAGCAGTAGTGGCACGAGCCTACCGGGCAGCGTCCATCACTCCCTGCGTCCAGAGTTGGGGTGGGGGCCCACAGAGCAGGACGCACACCGCGTGGCGAGAACAGTTTGTCCGGGACCCATCCGCTCAGAGGGAGCGTGTGCGCAATCTGACATCGCAACAACGGCGGAACATCACACGGCGGCACTTATTGTTTTGTTTCAGAGGCGGCGCCGGCCATACTTAGGAGAAACAGGCCATACTGTACGGAATACTGAAGGAGTCAAATTCCGAGAAATCTCGAAATCTACAGGAGGCCTTTTTGGCGCGAACAACTGCGAGAGCTGGCCGCTCGACAGAGAGATTTTGCCTGGCGCTGCGCCCGTCATTCGGACCACCACGGCGCGGTGGGCAGAGGCAGGATTTCCCCATCATGACTTCCTTGTTGAGAAAGGCGGCCCGCATGAACCTGGTGGCCATGGACTTCGTACTTCAAGTCACGGTGGTGGAGCTGGTGCTGGGCACCCTCCTGGACGATGGGAGAACTCTGAGCTTCGAGTTGTCGCGAGGAACAAAGGCAAGCTGCTGCTGCTGTGTGTGCGCACCCACCACCACCACCCTTTGCTTGCTAAATCTGCTAAATACTGCTGCCACTACTACAGTTTTGCAACTGCTTTGTGTGTGCTACAGCGTAGCACACACAACGATCTGCTTACCCCGTTTTGCACGCTTGTCTATCTGCCCCTGCCACGTTTGATCGTTGCGCAATCCTGTGTCTGTGTTCACGTCGATTCCCCCCGCCACCGCCGCCGACAATAAAATGGGCCGACGCATGCGTTCGGCAACCGTACGCACCTCCATCCTGCAAAAAATGGAGAGAAAAGGGGGTTGTTCGTTGCCTTGCGCATGCCGCCCGCCGTTGTGTAGCCATCCCCTCACCTCCGCTTATGAAGATGTTATTATAGTGTATCCGAGGGCTGTTGGATCAATTCACACATATCCCATGACATACATACATAGGACAGCAGGAGGGGGTCCAACCCCCCCCTCCTATGTGACCCCGGTTGGGTCGCCTGGCTGATAGAAGTGGAGGATAGGGGCCAGAGGAGCAGACGACAGAGCCCAATTATGAGATAAAAAAAAAAGTCTCCCTCTCGTCCTTCACCCCGTCGTGTATGTAGACAAGAGGCGGCGGTTGATATTTAGTCTAGGCGGCTGCAGAAATACCTCGAGAGTAGAGTTTCTGGTACAACTCGAGGCTCAAAGGGATGCCCAATGATCTAGTCTAGTCTATAGCACGTCTTTCGGTGAGTTGAAATATATTTTTGTCCAACAGCAGACGGCGCGGGAGGTTGGCGCCGCGGCGCTTTCTTGTGTCATGCAAAAGCTGTTATGTGCAGGCCCGCGAGAGGGAGCGTCTCGTGCGTTGTGGACGCAATGGTATGTCGCCAATTATGCTGCATGTCTTTACCTATTTAGCGATGCTGCAAGGATTCTTGATTGCTGCATGAAGCTATGTTGTTCACGCACATCTCTGCGTGATAAAATTGATGTACGCATGCGTATGATATTTTGTCGGTTGTGTACAAGCAGGCTTACAGGCATCTCTGTACCAGATGTGCCACATTTTCAGATACAGCAGTGGGGCGCGCCCTCTTTAGTGCCAGTTGAATACCATAGATTGCGTAAGATACCACACCCTCTGGACCGATTTTCATAGCTCGATAACTCAACGACGACGAGACGGTTTGTTGCAACGCCTCCAGCCATTCTCGGCGCCGTCGCTGTTTTTCCTGCTGCAGAGATTTTTCCTGCTGTAGAGAAATCGAGCTTTGAAAACTGGCAGGGGGTGTTATATCTTACGTCGTGCAACCTACTGCTGAAGCGACGGTGTTTTCGGCTCGCACACCACGTATCGCACACACTGAATTACCAGGTCGTCCTGTACTATGAATCGTGCCAATGTTCGGTATGTTGTTGTTGGTTCCTTCACATTAAAACCCATTCCGTTCTCTTTGCCCAGTAAAGTGTCGGTAAAACCTCGGGACACATCCCGGCACAAAAGACCCCCCCGCGCTGCACGAATACAAATGGTTAGTAGACTACCTTGTAGTGCAACGAGAAACGTGGCAGTCCGACCGCACTCCTTGGCACGCCCATACTGCTGTTGTAGGTGTTGACCATGCCGCCGCATGACCGCCCCGGTGGCCTAGTTGGTAACCTCAAAAACCTTCTAGAGGTCAGGTCAAGGGTTTGAATCCCGGTGCAAGCGAGCTTTTCTTGCAAAGTGAGTTTTTCTCTCCGATTCCGCTCCTGGCCTAGTGGATAGCGCTAGTTCGTGTGCACGCAGAGGGAAGAGAGTGCGGAACTCTTCTCGCATTAAAAGCAAAATTCGAAGGCGAAGTACCGCAGGAGGGGAGGATAGAAAGGGACTCTTCTGCGTGACCATGGGTTGGAGTAAACGGCACTAGTGCTGTGAGCGCTGATTTGAAGTGAACACAAAAAAAAAAATGATACTTACAGGCACGTGAAAGAAAACCGTGCAAAACCATCAACACAACACCCCAACGGCAATAATGAGCTAGTAGGGTTTTTGCGGACTGGTGTTGGGATTTCATCTTCGAAGTTGCCAGGAAGTTCGAGATGAGATCAAAATTTGATTTCGAAAGCAGCTTGCGAAGATGCGAGTGAAATTTTGTGGTCTTGATCACGCAGAAACTTCCAGGAACGCAATATTTTACTGCGGCGGAGCCCCCTTTTCGGCTCTTTTCGGCAGCAGACTTGGTCCCGCTCGGCACAACCTACATCAGACCTTCCGCCTCCACCCCCACCGCAAGGCTACCACCACATTATTATACACTCACAACCGCTGCTAAACAATCATGGAGAACGATGGAGGTCAACGTACTCATGAGAAGGCTGGCCCGGTTCAGTTGCCGGGTGTTCATGGCAACACGAGTCCTCCGGCGAGGGCCGCTCCCCTCGCCAGAGTTTTGGTGAACACACAGCACGAAGGCCAAGGACCTCCTCCTACTGCTACCGCTGCCCCGCGGTTTAGTGATACGCGTCGCAGTCATCAACGGAGTCGATCGTCCGCGACAGACGCATCACCGGAGCACGGTCCACAGGACGCACGCGCAGCAGCTCCTCACGCTCCCACGCCGCTTGAAGCATCCCTAACCCCGTCACCTCCGCCTCCGCCTGTGCAGCACTCCTAAGATCTATGCCGCTCGCAGCATCGCCGTCATCCTCGTCACGCCGACTTGGTGTGTCACTCAAGAAGAGCATGTAGAACGGTATGCTGCGGTTCAAAGGGCGAAAGATCAAATTCCTAAAGATCCCGCGGTCTTCGGCGCTCGGGTGGATAAAAAAGATCGAAATCAAATCGAATTCCGATGTTGGCAAACTCGTTAGTCAACCATAACCACCACCTCAGAAGTCATTGAGCTGGACTTTTCGTTTTCTTCTCCTTTACAGTATTACTCCCGCTGCGTACCGCCACGTGTACATCATGTGATCGATCGTCATGTTCCAGTCATCCGAAAATCAATTGGCACGTTAGTCAATCTCTCGATTATCTTGACGGAGGCGGCATTCATCCTCCCCCCCCGCTGGATTGGTTGGATCCAGAGCCGCACCTGAGAGGTTGCAGTACTCTGCATTCGCCGCTCATGGCGCTCATGGCATCATGTGTATATATGCGGCTAAGTAGCGGTGTTTGTCTTGTCATGTGTTGGTGGGGTTTTGTTTGCCCGCCCGGGGTCTCCTCCAAACTAATGCGTACGATGCATATTAATATGTACCCGTTTGCTGTTGCTGGCTCACAGAGAAACAACCGTGATTCGTTGTGGGGACCTTGTTACGGGTAGATCTCAACGAAGAAATCAGATCTCGAAATCACATTTCATAGAAGAATAAAAGAATCGGATCTACCCAAATCCGGACAGATATCACCTGTGTCTTTACCGGAGATCTGCCAAATGGAAACGGATCTCTGCAGCCTACCGCGAACAACCCGAGAGGTCCGCCGCTTGCCGACTGCCAGATTGCTGTTGTGACGTGCTGTCATGACGTGGCCACACCACATGGGGAGCTATCGCTCCCGAGAAGCACACACCAAACGCGCACATGTCCTCTGTGCGGTAATGACACGATGTCTATGCATGTGAGACTCGACCGACGGAAAGCCACCAATTTTGTCTGAGCATTTGAGGTTCGACAACCCACGGGAGATTGCCCCACAGACCAACACATCCCACACACGTTTTTTTTTCGGCGCCAGTCACGTGCAGCAAGAATGCGCAGCCACCCTTCCCTTTGGGCTGGCTTTTTGTGCTCTCTCTCTCCTCTGTGCTCGGCGGTGGATGGAGTTTGTGTGGATGGGGGTAGGTGGGCACATGCCGTGCATGCGAGTAGACCGTGGTCCCGCAACTATGGTTGCGGTTCACCCAAATCGGGATCCGATTTTACCATTTCACCTGTTTTCAAATCCCGATTGGGTTGTGGGTCGTCCTCTGTTAAGTCCTGAAGATTCGACGGGTTCCATAACTTGTCAGCCAGTAAACAAGAGAGTGCTTTGGATCTTCCGGTCTTGTAACCAAATCTGAATGTGATTTCGTGATCTGATTTCATCGTTGAGACCTAGCCTAACAGCGTCAATCCAGCGGGTATTTACATCCGGGTGTGCCCTCTTCTTGTACGTAGGTTATCTACCGCTGACCAATGCACAGACGCCATTTTGTCTCATTGTTGAAGCTAAACCGACATCGCTCCTAGAGGTAGGTCACACACAGCGGCGGCGAACGGGATGGTATCCAGGACCCAGACTGGTCGAGGGCCTGATCTGGGCCGGGGGGGAGATAGGGGGTAACATGCTTGCAAGAGGCAGAAGATGGGGGCACCGGGTGCGGTTAGATTCTCCTCTCTTGGCAAAAGTACCACATGTCTTGTTCTTGAAACCCTCTAGGCCTACCGGTTCCTTATATCAACTTCGTCTTTTTCGGACCCGTTCCATGCGTCATCTACAACCTCAGCCAACTCCATGGTCGTCTACGCCCTTGCTTGTTCAAACCCCCGCGGCCTCCCAAGTTGTTATCGCCAACCTCTCATCCCTGAAGAAAGGAGGTGTGCATTTTTACCCCAACGGGGACCCTGTAAAATTGCCTGCATCGAACCACACTGGACTGAAAGCACGTAAATACTACGGGAGAGAGGGACTGTGCGGTCCTGAATTTTCTCCGGTGCGCCCTCCTGAAGGGCATGATCTGGAATACTTGTTGATCCCGTACATACCACACAAGCCCTTCGGTGCCCTATTGGGGCATACCGAGGGGGCGGACCGGGTACAATCAACAGCAGCGCCGACGAAGTTTGCAATCATTCGGAAGCAGGTGCACTTGCGAACACCTTTCGCGCAACAATCAAAAGCGGCAAACGCGTTTTGCTAAATGTCCGCTTGCTTGAGTTGAACACGCCCGCGACTTGTTCGTTGTGATGCATGTTTGCATGTTGCTGGTGCCTTTACAGTCGTCAGGTCTGCCGCCCAAGGTTGTCTCTACGACCAGGAGCGAGTGGGAGCAGACGATGCAGGTGGTCATTACCCTTTTTCTCGACAAGCGAAGGTACGCAAAGACCTGTGCGCGTTTTGTCACATTGAGCAGCAGTGTAAACAGCAACAGAAAGCCGGCCGACCGGCCGGCCGGTTTACGCCCTTTGTTGCTGACGAGAATGTCCGCATCCAGGCAGAGCATCATGCGCGCGCCCCCGTTATTTGTTTCCCCGTAGAAATCACGGAAGATTCGTCTCCAACGGGGTGAGGTCTTCCGCGAACTCCAAAACATACTCGTCCGCAGTTTCCGTGCGACGTGGTCAGAATGGTCACATCGACCAAAGCACCGCTCACTCTGAACCCCCCCCCCTTCCCTCCCCCGCCCCTGTTTGACTTGTTTTTTTGTTCTCAGCGGGCGTTTTCAGGACAAGGAGTACAAGCTGCGGCTGGTTCAGGCGGAGAAAGGCTGCACTATCATCATGGCCCCGGCGTTGGCTACCTTTACCCTTGACGCCAGTCTATACGCGCACCTGGGAGCGGGGTGAGCAAGCAAGAACAGGAGCGCCTTCACTGACCAGTTGAACCTGCTGATACTATTTTCCACCTGATGTCGTGAGCCTACTGCAATTTGATTACCCCCCGCGGGCAAAGAAGAGAAGTTTCCAACCCCGATCTGCCGCATTAATGTGGTCAGCCGTGGAACCCAATCTCTGCCTGCCGGTGCGGGGGCGGGTGGGGCAACGTATAGCAGCTAATCAGCCTGAACACCGGCTCGTAGCGGTGGTCCTTAACCCGAGCATCCATCGGCGGTCGGGGTATATGTGTCGGCTGGGCACGAAAAAAGAAGGCGGCAGTCATTGATCTATTCCTCGCTCCTCTTTTCTTGGCTGCGCGACCGCCGTGATGGGGTGCACAGGGCGGTGAGGGTAGAGAGGGCCAGTCGTGTGAAAGGCTGTTGTTGTTGTTGTTGTTGTTGTTGTTGTTGTTGTTGTTGTTGTTGTTGTTGTTGTTGTTGTTGTTGTTGTTGTTGTTGTTGTTGTTGTTGTTGTTGGCGGGTGGTGCTGGTGTTGGTTCTGCTGCCATGACACGGACCCTTTCGGTGCATGCAGCAGATGGCATTGTATGGGTGCCGTGCACTGCGACCCGATTGCTCCCACGACGAAAACGGTCTTTTGCCATACACCGAGCTGCTGCTAAATTTAGGCATCAAAATAAGACATGCTCCCAACGCCAACCCGCCGCGTTCCGGTGCCTAAATAGCAAATAATCCATTGTGTTTTTTTATTCTCTCGTGGAGGTGGGGCTCCTATGCATCGTTTTGACGGTATTATGGTCGGCCTTAGGCCCGGGAAAGCGGTCCGAAGCTAGTGGCACGAGCCGATACTTCAATGAAAAACTCCATGCCTTTTGATTTTCTTTTTCCCCGCCAGCGCCTGAGCCTTGTATTTTTGGTCTGATTTTCCTGTCGCTGCCTGCACCCGTCGTCTATCCCCCCCCCCCCCCCCCCCCCCCCCCCCCCCCCCCCCCCCCCCCCCCCCCCTCTCCCCCCGTTATATCGAAAAAAGCAGGCCTTCGGTGGACCAGCCGGTAGATCTGTACGCGCCTAAGCTAAATGGGCCGGGAGGTTTCGCCACCGTTCACCTGCGTGTCCGGTGTTGTGAGACGGGGAGACCCTCCGCCCAGTCGTTCCGGTCCCTTGCGGCTCCGAACGTGATGGTACGTAACTACGAGCGAGGGATCGAACACACGTCTTGTTAGCATCGATCACGCCAATCGCCTGGCCAATGAAAACACGTCAGTGCGTGCGTGTTCGTGGTGTTTCTTCAGTTGCCATGGACCGCGCCAACTGACCCACCAAATAAGAGTACGGCAAGTGTACGCGTGTGTGTTCCCTCTTTCCGCTCCGTCCCCACCCAACAGCTGTGCGGAGTAACTATGCATATCTCCCGGCAAGCAACATGACACCTCCCTAGTCTCCTTCCATATTTTCGTCTCAAGCCAATTCAATACCATGCCCAAACCGCCCCCTAAAACCGCTGCCCCCACCGGCAAATACATACCCGGGTGCAACAACACGCCTCCCCCCCGCTCAGAGGCCGTCTGTTTCTCTTCGTACCGGGTTCCCTCTGCGGGGCCCCCTGGACCAGTCCCGTCCCGGTCTCCTCGTAGGGTCTTCCTTCGGCTTCTCGATGTCGGGGTCCGAGTCCAGATACTCGGCCGGGTCGGCGGGGAGCTCCGCGTTTTCGACGCCCATGTAAGATGTACCTTGGAGGGGGGGGACTCATAGTCGTATGCCTGAGGGGATATGTAAACGCATGTGATTGAGTCCAGGCACTCGGCCGGGTCTGCGGGGAGCTCCGCATTTTTGACGCCCATGCAAGGTGTGCCTGGAGGGGGGGGGTACTTCAGGTGATACAAGAGATCATACCCTCTGGGTCGATTTTCAAAGCTTTATTACTCCGCAGCAAAAATTGTGGAGGCGCCGAAAACGGTGGTGATGAAGCCCTCTCGTCGAGAGCTTTCCGAAAATGCACCGTTTCGTAAACTCGTTGTGGAGATATGGAGTGTTGTCTTGTGTCACCTGCGGTAGTACTCATGTGGATGCATGCCGCAGTCGTTAGACCATTGACCTCGCATCCCTACTAGGCCGTGACGTAGCGATAATGTCGAGTTTTCGCCGGCCTAGGCTACGCTTCACCAGGATGAACCGGGAAGGGGGTGGTGCTATGAGGGAATTATTGGCGTGGCGTTGTTCACCCAGGCGTAGGTGTAGGAAAGACTTGTGCTGGGGGGAGGGGGGGGTCATGAACTGGCATGCCTTGGAGGATCTGCTGATTCCGGGACGGGCCGAGCGTTCCGTGTTTTTTCCGGTAGAAATTACCATAACTTGTTGTTCATGGTCCCTGTGCTCCTATATTCAATTTTTCTCGTGGGAAGCCGTTTTCATAACTTCCCCTTCAAGCCCTGAAACCCCAGACGAGGGATAGATTGAGGTCTCGCCTTTGCTTGATCTTGAGGGCAGGTTTTTCATGGATGAGATCATGTTCCGAGGGGGGCAAGGAAGTTGAAGCGCTGTTAGAGTTTGGACTGCTAGGAACGTGGGCACGAAGCTAGTGGGGGTGGCCATGTGATGGCGATGGGGGAATTCTGACTGTGGCGCTGTCGATGCTGACTTTCGCTACCCTGCTTCGCCCCAAGCAATCCTCCGTTTGCACGTCACATCCCGCCCGTACGTATGCCCATGCCCATCCGTCTTGCTGGTACCATCCTCACCCGATTCCCCCCCCCAAAAAAAAGAGAGAAGCTGGCGTTCCTTGGATGGCCTCGACTTGTGGTGGCAACAACATCCTCGCTCAACTCCCCCCCCCCCCCCCCC